GCGCGCGCTGTGGGACCCGCGGTCGAGCGCCGCGCGAGGCCGCGCCGTGCATTCCGCGCATTCCCGCCCGGCCTGGGTTCCGCCGCCACGTGGTGGCCCTGCGCTCCGCGCTTACCGTAAAGCCTGGAGACGGTGCGCACCTCGGCTTCCCAGCATGAGAGGAGGACCGCCCCGGTACCCACCTGGCTGCGCCGTCCCGCCCCAGTGCAGAACCCGCGCAGGCTCGGGCGTGCAGTAGGTTTAGGTAACTAGAAGAGCTGAACTGCCGTGAAGTCCAGCAGGAAGGAGGGTGGCCAGCGCCCCTACCCCCCGCCCCCGGTGTGTGCAATGGTGGGGGGCTGCCCAGCTCTGAAACCCCACAGAACCGGACAGGGAACCGTCATGCCTTGTCAGCAGCCTTAGAGGCTGGAAAGGAGTCGCAGCCTTCCCGTTGGTCTTCTTCCTTTTCCCCGATTATTCACAATCAGTGGTTCAGTCCAAGGGGAAGGGGGTCTGGAAGGTGCTTAGCAAACAGTCCATAACATGGTTACAACTGATTTTTAAAAAATAGATTCTGAAGGGTCTCTTTTTTGAGGTCAGTTTAGTCAAGATTCAGCGCCCTCAGGAGTCCTGAGCTGTCACCTGGAACAGGATTGTTGTCTGCCTGGGGGAACTCTGGGGTAATGGGGCCACCAGGGTCCTCCCTGGGTTGTGACACCCCCTGCAAGCTTGGATGGGTCTGGAGGAATTTTGAGAACCCTCCTGGGCCCTCTCTCCAAATCCATGCTTGAACAGAGGGCTCCCTCACACTCACACGAGGCAGGACGGGCCTCCGTCCCTGAGGGCCCCCAGTGTCCCCAGTCTAAGGGAAGCACAGCAGGCCCATCTCTTGGGGACGTTCCACCCAGCTCCATGTCCTCTCCCAGGGGGTTGACCAATGGTCCACTGTTTTTATGCAGTTGACGATGAAACTGAGGCACAGAGGGGCTAGGCACCCTGTCCAGGTTGGCGATGACAGTGGCCGGTCAGAGCCCACAGTCCTGGGCAGGAAGCCGCAGCCCTCCACGTCATGGCTCCTCCGAGACGCTGGGGGGGCTGACTTAGGCTTGCAAGACTCCCTGCCGAGCCAAGCCTTCTTCTGCAGGATGTCAGGAAGTTGGCGACCATATGTAGGAAACAGAACCAGAGGGTCCCCCAGGCCTCCACCTGCCAGGGCCCGAGAGGCAAATGTCCATCCCACCTCGAAGTGGGATGTGGGCCTTCCCTGGCGAGCCCACAGGGAGGGGGATCAAGGTACCACGCGGGAAGCCGGGCAGAGCCACTGGCCGGGCCTCATTCTCGCCTGTGTTCTCATGCAGAGCCAAGGCCCGGTGCTGTGTGGAATTAATTAAATGTTTCAATTCATATTCAGACAGGGCATTTTTCAGATGACTCTGTGCTGAATCAGCTGGCTTCTCTGAGCCTCCAGCCGTTCACGCCCGCCCGCGGTGGGACTTAAACTGCAGAGAAACTGAGGTTGAAGTAAGCCCCCCAGTCACCCGCCCTCGGGCTTCCTCCTCCACTCTCCCTCTCCTTGCCCTGCAAAAGGGGGACAGGATTTGATCTTAAAAAGACAGACAGACGGCGGCACCGATGAGGGCCCAGAAGTCAGCGCAGGGGTGAGGGGAGAGGTCTGAGGGAGCCTTCTGCTGGGCCACTGGTGGGATCTCTGCCCAGGACGGTCACCCCATTTCCCAGCCATTCTGCTCGCGCAAAGGGGGACAGTCACCGGTGAAGTGGGCCAGAGGTGGGGTCAGCAAGACGGGAGGGGACGGGGGAGGCAAAGAGCCGCCTGGCCAAGCCAGGGCTGGGACCCCTCCCTCCAGGCGCCTCGCCCTGTGTGTCCCTGCAGCAAGGCGGGGAGTCGCCGTCGGACCCCCGGGAGTGAGGCCGCTGGACCCACCAGCCTGGGGGGGGCCCCTGTCCCCCGACTCCCTGCTCCACCTTTGTTGCCCCTTTGGACTCCGGCCACCTGCTAGCCCACAGACAGAGCTGGATGGCCGTCCGGGAGGCCTTGAGGCAGGACGGCCTGCCGTCTGTCCGTCAGCTCCCGGGGACAGGGCCCTGTCTGGGCTCTCAGGAGCCCCTCAGCAGAGCGTGATGTCATTGCGTCCCAGCCTGCAGGCAGCGGGGGTGGGGTGGGGGGAGGACCCCCTGGAGATGTGACTGAGGCCTGTCAGGAGGAGACCTGGGTCCGGGCCCTGTCCTGTGGGCATGTCCAGCGGGTGTCAGGACACAGAGCGGAGCGCCCCAAGGAGACTGGGACCTGAAGTGCGTCCCTGTGGTGTCTCCCTTCGCACGTGGCCTGAGGGGGACTCGCCCACACCAAGGAGGAGCTGGTGGGGGGAGCCCAGGTTGTCCTTCTTGGTCACAGGACAGGGGGGAGTGTCCTGTGTCTGCTGTAGCCATGCCCCAGGCGGGGGCTGAGGATGGCAGATTCCAAACAGGCTCACCTGGGCCCCTCCCTCCGGGGTCCAGGAAGGCAGGTCCAGCCTCTGCTGGCCCCTCTGCTGGCGTCCCTTCCTGTGGCGGCCTCATCCAGTCTCTGCCTCCATGGTCGCTGTGGCTCCTCTTCAGTCTCTCAGAGGGACATGAGGTCACCCTCGTGGGCTCTGGGGGCCGCCCCTCAACCTCACAGCTGGAGAAAGGGACGCGCTTCGTCACAGCCAGGAACGGGCCACCAGATCCTGTCCGTGCCGAGGCCTTGCTCCGTGCCCCCCCCACTTAGGGCTCCGCGGCAGGGGACAGGGTCCCGGATACACTGAGGTCTGCCTGTCCTCCAGGGGCTTCTGTTGGGGCCTGAGAGACGCGACTGGCAAGGCTTCTGCAGAGGAAAGCTCGGGACAAGGTGGCCAGCACCTGCCGCAGGTGACCTGTGTCGGTCCGTTCTGCTGCCTCCCAGGGGCAGGTGGGCAGAAGTGAGGGGTGGCACGGCTGCTACCACTTGTGGGCCTCTGCTTCTCTGTCCTCAGCCTCTCACCTGTGCAATGGGGTGATGACGGCGTTGGCCTCCCACGTCCCTCCGAGTCGGAGGCAGTGGGCAGGTGGTGTGCCCGGTGCCTGTGAACCCCGCTCTCTGGGACTTGTGCTTCCTCCCAGTCCCGCACTCTGAACCTGCGCAGGTGGAATGGAGGCCCAGTGGGGAGTCCTGCCAACTGTCTCCTCAGTGGGATCAATCAGAGGCCAGCAGACCAGCGGCCGCCTGCGGTCAGCGTGAAATCCTGCCTCGCCAGTTCAGCGCGCTGCTGGCCCGATGTCCCTGCGTCTTCCCAGGTACCCCGTTCCTTCTCTCCTTCCAGGGTCTCCTGAGTAGGCAGGGGCTTGCAGCCACAAGAGGGAGGCCACTGAAGGTCAGCGTGGGTGGGGTGCCCAGCTTGGCATCGGCCTGCCACCCAGGTCCCACACATGGCTCACGGTCATAGCAGCCCCTGGGACAGAAGAGACAAAGGTGAGGTTGGGGGAGCTCAGACCACCAGGAGGGAGGCACGGGAGGAAGGAGGCAGTTAGGAGTCTGCTCTGGGCAGCAGCCCCGTCCCTCCCCGAGGAATGCGGGTGGTACTGACCACCCGGGCCACAGACCACCTGGCCAGCTCTCTCCCAGACTCAACCTCACTCCCCACAGCATCTCATCTAACTGTGGGAGCAGCCTCCAAAGGAGCAGCCTCCACGGGGAGTCACAATCCTGTTTTACAGAGGAGGAAATTAAGGCCCAAGGTCACTGAGATGCAGAGGAGCAGGAGAGCGTCCAGCTCTGGCTGCACACACAGAGGAGGGAGAGTGAGTCGCCAGGCACCTTCCGGAAAGCCCCCAAGATGCAGTTCACCGAACACACAGTTGGCCTGCACAGTGTGCAGTCCAGTGGCTTTTCGCACGTGACAGTGACAACGTTCCACCGCCGCCGCCGTCTCATTTAAGAACACTGTCTTCTTCCCAGGTACTCGCCTGGTCCTTACAGCCCCTGGCCACCGCTGATCTGCTTCTGGCCCTGTGTCCTGGACACTTGGTATAAACGGAGTCAGAAAGCGTATGGTCTCTTGCCTGATTTCTTTCCTTTAGTAAAAGGTTTTCAAGATTCATCCACATTGTGGTGTTTATTGGTACCTCGTGCCTTTTCATGGCTGAATAGTGCTCCACGGTGTGGGCGGACCACCTTGAGTTTATCTGTTCACTCCCTGGAGGGCACTCGGGGTGTGTGTGGCCGTAGGACGCAGGTGTGCAAGTGCTTCTGTGGACGCCTGTTTTCCTTCCCTGGGTGCACAGGGTCCACATTAGTGTGGATCACTCGAGAGTGTGTTGTGGGGGCTTGAGCTCCCTGGGCCTGGACCCCAGGGAGACCTTGGTCTTTCGAGAGGACTTCCTGGCTCTCTCCCTCCAGCCCGGTCCTCCCCTGCCGCGGTCCTTTCTCTCCCTCTTGCTCACGCTGCTGAAGTCTGCAGACAGACAGCTCTGCAGGAGAAACTGGGTCAGAGCCGGGATGCTCAGGGGTTGGCACGGCCCTGGCACCCGTGAGGCCCTGGACTCCATCCCCGGCACCATAGAGTGATCCAGAGAGAGAAGGGACTTGATTATTGCTGTGACATTAGCTGTGACAGGGTGGCGCTGTCCTACCTAGCGGACGGGTTGGTGCACCCAGCTGTGAGCCGATGGTGCGGATCTGTGAGGGGTCAGGTCCGATGGTCACTGGACAACCTGCACCTCTGTCCCCCAGAAGAGACCTGGGGTTCTGGGCTACGCAGGCAGCCTCCTCCTCCGCAGACAGCCTCCTCCGCCTGCAGCCTCCTCACCCCACCGCTGGCGGGCTCACCCCGGGGCTGCCTGTGTGGTTTCTCTCCCTACCTCCTGCTGCTCCCCTAGAGGCACTGATAATCTGGTCCAGTGGGCACCAGGAAACCAAAGAAATTCTTAACCTCCTCTCCTCTGTTGCGTTCCCAGTGGCAGGGACCTCCGCCTCCTCTTTCACCAAGGGGCCAAACTGCCGTCTGCCCCATCTTGCCAGCTCCTGGGGTTTCCTCTCAGCACAGGTGTGCCAGGCAGCTCTCTGTCACTGTAACAAAATACCCGAAACAACCGCCTTATAAAGAGCAAAGGTTTATTTTGACCCAGTTTTGGAGGGTTCCGTCCAGCTGGGTGGTCCTGTGGTGGCGAACCATGGCAGAAGGTGAGAGACCAGGAGGGGTCACACCAGCTGCTCCAGGCCACACCCCCACTTGCTGAAGGACCTCCCACCTCTCTTAAAGCTGCACCACCTCTGGTGACACTGAGCTGGGAGCAGGCCTTAACATGGGGGTGTTGGGGACATCACATTGTACCCTGTGGTGCAGCGTGACCCCTGCTCACTGAGGCTTCACTCCAGAGGACGGACGGTCACCCCTGAGCAGCCCGCCCCGTGACGTGACAGGGTGTGCCAGAGCGCGGGAGCAGGAGGGGCGGCCTCTGACCTCTGCCTGCCGGACACCTCTGGGAGGAGGGTGATGTGTGTCAGGCACGGCTGTGACAGACCACTCCACACAGCACGGGGGCTGCTGTCCTCGGGGGTGCCCAGGAGGAGGCCAGGCAACACGCACACACGCACACACAACCTCTGTCTATGCACATGCACGCCTGCACACGCACACACACACACGCACATACAACCTCTGTCTATACACATGCACACCTGCACACACGCACACAGACACGCACACACAACCTCTGTCTATACACATCACACACATGCACACCTGCACACACGCACACAGACACGCACACACAACCTCTGTCTATACACATCACACACATGCACACATGCACACCTGCACACACGCACACAGACACGCACACACAACCTCTGTCTATACACATCACACACATGCACACCTGCACACATACACACACACACAACCTCTGTCTATACACATCATACACATGCACACCTGCACACACAACCTCTGTCTATACACATGCACACCTGCACACATGCACACACAACCTCTGTCTATACACATGCACACCTGCACACACGCACACAGACACGCACACACAACCTCTGTCTATACACATCACACACATGTACACCTGCA